AGAAGAAAAGTGTCCCCGCGCGCACTCTCTCTTCTCTCCGGCCGGGGAGTTGTAAAGTAGCGCCGAGATTGCATTGCGATAAAACGTTAATTTAATGTCGGGGACACTTAATCTTGGCGCGAGAGAGCGTGCGTGCCCTGAGAGCTGCACTTTTTATTCTCTCTCCTCCAAAAGCCAAAACACAAATCACCAGCCAGCACGTCTCAAATCCACACTCTGATTAGTCTCTCTGAGCTCAAAATCCTGGCTTTGTAGCTTTGATTCTTCTCAGACTTGTGGTTTTTAAGAAGTTTAATATATTATAAGACATTTCTTTCTAGAAATGAATGAAAAGAAAATCCCTAAATGAATAAAAAGGAACTACTTATGAATTCTAATTGTATAATTAAAAGAAATGTAAATGAGCCAATAGCAAACAATTATGATTTAATTTATTTGAATTTTAAATAATCAATTTTAATTTAAAAGTGAAAAATTATGAAACAACCCAGAAAGAAAGAACCAATTGTATATTTTAATTGCCAGATATTTTATCAAATTTTAATATTTACCTTCCGAAAAAGGAGTTTAAAAGAATATTAACTTCAAAGATCATTTTCTGATTTCAATATTTACCTGTTTTTATTCTACGCGTTTCTTGCTGCAAAATATAGAACCGAAAATCATAAACAATTATTAAAAATTCATTTTTACATTAATTTGTAATTAATTTTTAATAAAAACACTAGTAATATATCGAGATTCAATTCGAAATTTCCTCATTTATCACTAACTTATCAAATTTTTTTCTGCAAGACTCTTTAATAAGAAAATACGCTCGTGCAGAAATTTTCTTATTCAAAATATCAATTTTCAACCGACGACGGGTTTCAAGTGTTAACCGCCGCGTGCTGAAAATTTTGGCTCTTGCGAGCTGGCGAGTTTAATTGGCTGGGCGAAAAATTAGCGCAGGTGTCACGTTGAAATTTAATACAATTTGTGCGGCCGTGTCAACTGCTAGCCAATTAGTGGTTTACAAAAACATGGCCCCGAGGGAGTATTTTAATAACAACACATGCACGCCATAGCTGGATTATACTCAGCACACTCACAACACGTACCCATGCCATGATTATTAAGCTCCGGCGAGAGCAAATAGGGGTAAACCGAGCAGAGCAAAACGCCGCTTTTTCGCCTTGTCATGCACGTCGGGGGCGACAAAAGCCGCACGCAGGGGCGAAAAATGCTCTCGGGTGACGGTTTCCTCCCCGTCGCATTCAACACTTTGCTAAATCTGGTTAAAATTTATTTCGTTTTCCGTTGGGAAATTATTTATTTTTGTTAACCAATTGGCAAATTGATCTTTACTTCAGTTAAACAAATACAAAAATTTTCAGCTTTAATTATGTAACAAAAAAGAATAAACTAAAATTATTTGATTTTTTTTATTTGAAGAAGTTATAAAATAAAAAATGTTTTTAGAGAGAATGTTGCCAGAATTGTATAGTAAAACTTACTGCCATTTTTATTCATATTTTGCAAAAATAAAAAATTATTGGATAAGAAAACGTGATTAATAAAAACTGTAAAAACTGATTCAGCATTTTAACAAATTAAAGGTGAAAGATTGGTCAAATTTAATAAAATTATATCATGACATCATAAACTTTCAATCAAAAATTTCTAATTTTGATTCAAACTGATTCAGACAACAATTTTTTATTCAAATTTAATTATTTTAAAAAAGAATACAAATTTTTGTTATTTTTCATTCAATATTTTATTTCTAGAGGCCAGTTTTCTACATAATAAATTGGTCTTGGCCGGCAACGCAGCTAGTTTTTTTTTGCTCCGAGCTTTATCTCTTTTGCGGTTAGGCAGCCCCGCGGCAGCGCCGAGCCCAACACGTTGCCTACGCCCGCAGGGGCGCTGACGGAACGCCGTGCCCGGTGTGGAAAAAAAGGGTGATGTGTTTACGTATTTATTTCACAGTCAATCAAGTCGGATGGCGGAGGAAACTTGACCCACATTTATTGAAGCATGCGCTAAGAATATGAGGCGAGGAGTGTTTGATGAGAAGGGAGAGTCAGGTTTCCTTCAACTCGAGTGCTTACAAACCATGACTGATTTGCAGTGATGGCATCCATAGGCGGCGGCGAACACAAAGCCTCTCTCTTGGTCTATCGCCTGACAATATAGCAGTTTGATTTGTTCGGGAAATTTAATCTTTTCCCTAGCCGAAAGGAGAATAAATTAATGCTGCGGTTTTTCTTCGAGAAGAGGAAATCCAGATAGAAGGGAAAAAATCCTAGGCGTGAAAAAGCGATGAAAGAAATGGCAACGCCGCCAAATGTGTGCGTGTGCAACTGAGGGAATATAAATTCCCTTTTTTACGGCAGGAAAAGAAATTGTATGTGTCCTTCATAGTTGACTGGACCAACGCGCGCTCTCTCTCTCTCCGCGCGCCGGCTTTATATGATTGTGCTGCTCGGATGAGGATTTTATTCCTGATCAATGGCTCGCTCACTCTCCGGCCCGAGCAGTGTGTGTGTACTCGGCGCACATAATTTAGTCTGAATTTGAACAGAGGCAAAGGGGAAAATTGCACGCCTGCTGTTTTCATAGTCAGAGCAAAGAGACTCGCCGAGAGACTGGTCTTTTGTGACCTTCAAATTGAATAAATATTGATTCTTAGAAGCGCTCTTAACTGAATAAAATTGTATATTAACTCGGAAATTTGAATTTTGGAAATTATAACAAAAATTTAGTCAACCGAGGCTCACTTCGGCGAATGGGGTCTTTTTGATCTCGGAAGATTTTGCAAGGTTTTGGTGGTGCCGTTTTTTCCTGTTGTCCCTATTTTTAATAAATTGCTTTCAATTGATTCAAATTTAAACAATGTATTTGTACTACCAATGTGGACAAATAAACAACTATAAGAAAGTTTTCCATATTAAAATAAGGGTTGAAGATGATATAAATGCCACGTTTGAAAAAGTGTATAAAATTGAAAAATTTTATATAAATTTTAACAATTGATTACAAACTTTTTTTATTTCATGCTCAAAAAAACCTGATAAGCGCATCCCTGAAATTGAAAAAATTTGTAAATTACGCTTGTTTGCAGCAGCAAAATTTTATTTCAAAAACATTTCGGTTCGGGTAAATAGCTCATCTCATCTCAACAACTCACTTATAAAAAGTCTAAATACAACAATGAATTTCAGCTGGTTAATCATCTTTTTTAGCTCAATCTGGTGGTTTTTAATAACCCTATATAAAACCAATTATTTTCGTGAAAAATCAAAAGAAATTTTCTCCAAAGTCACATTGAAAAAAAACGGCTATTTTCTAACCTAAAATCAAATTTAAAATAAAAATGAATTTATGAACCTCTATAATGAAATTTCTTGCTTATTTTTCATTTAAAATTTATTTGGGCAGGTTGGAAAATTTCACTTATTTTCACCTAATTAACTTTCGTGCACTTTACCCAAGAAATTGTTTTTTTTTTGCAAATTGATCTGTCACTTTTACACAAAACATCACCTTATTTCTATATTTAATAGTAATATCTTTCGAAATTGTGGGTAAAGATTTTCATGCCAGCAACAAAGACGTCTACAAACCACCCACACATTGGACCGCAAATCGTCTCAGAGTATCCCTTTCTCGATTGATCGCTTCAGTACTCCAGTTCTCTCTCAGTTGATCAAGTATACGCGATAATTCGCCGCGACCCCAAATGCAAACCGCAAAACATCATCGTGTCTCCTTTTTGTCCAACACATTACAAACGCACCGGCTTTCATTCCATCTATGCGCGGCAAGAATAGAATAAAGAAAATTATATATTTGCCCAGGCGGTCGGCGGGACGGACGAGGGTCAAAAAGATCTCCGAGAAAATCCAGGCCACACGCAGGGGAATTTTTATTCTTAATAGAAAGCGGTGCATGACAAGTTTATCGGAGCGACACTCAAAATGTGGTGACAGCTCGTGGCGAAACAAAACACAAATGTTGCTCCACGGCCAAAGCGAGCCGCCAGCACAAATATAATCGCGCGCACGGCATGTGGTGTCCAACGGAATTTATCTATTTACGTTTGTTTGCCCGCAATCCTTTGAAGGATGTTTATTTATTGTCAAGAAAATCGTTTCTCTCGCGGATGCACTCGGCTGCGATATTTTCATGAACTGTTCTTTGAAAAGGGTTCAAAACGCACTCTCGTCGAGAGAGGATTTTCTAGAAATCTGAAACTGATCTGTTATCAAAGTCTGCTGGTGGCCTCAAGAGGATTATTTTCTGGTTCAATTTGCCACCCACTATGCTAGGTAGAAAAACATCAATTTATTTATTGGTAGAAATAATTCAAAATGTTCCCAAATATTTTCAATAAAAAGGCCCACTGAATTATTTTTTAATGGAACTACATTTCATTTTAATTTAAGGAATTAATATTTTTATGTTTTTTATTATTAACATGTAATTTAAATAATTGAGTTTTAACTGAACTTTGACTTTATATCTCAATGTCTATGATTTTTTTACCAGTTACACATGAAAATTTAAACCATTGTACCGTCTTGTCATGTATGAATCAAGATTTTTACGCTTTTTACTGCCAACATCCGAAATCGCGTGTGCCGCCGCGCTTTGTGTGTCATTCCGGCGCTCACCCTCGCTTTTTTGAGCGCGTTAAGAGTTTCCTGAGTTTGCGATTGTAAAGGATACGCAGAGCATGAAAAAGAGACGATAAGTTTTTCACCCCCGAGGTCCGGGCAGTAGTTTCTTTTTGAAAGAGCTCCTCGTTCACCCCCGACGCCGCACCACTTGACATCCATCTCGAGCCAATTCAAAAAGCGCCGCCTTTTGATCAGACCGATCGGCATTCAAATCAGAAAACCGCTATTCCGCTGACATGCTTTCCAAACTGACGCTTCAAAAATAACTCTCTGCTTTTCATGTTATACATATATTTTATAATTTGGTTGTGCTGCTAAATTATGTGTCTGTGTTAGCTTTAGACCAGCAAGGGAAGAAATTGTCTCCAGCATCATCGCCAGGCTACAGTGCGTGGTGTCCTTGTGAGTTTTTCATTATTCACCTAATTTTTTTTATATGTTTAAATAAAAAAAAATGCGGGTGGAAAGATTTGGGAAGAGCTCACAAGCGCACCGCCAGGGTCTAAAGTTGACAATTCGCATTCTTGAGTTTGATAAGCACACTACTCAGATCTCTTCAAAACTGAGCATTTTTCGTTTGGATTGGCGTAGTTTATTAATTTTTTGATGAAATTGAATGATTTTTTTAGTATATTTTTCACTCTCTCTCTCTTTTGACTGAAGAAAATTTGTTCTCGATTGAATAGGTCATAGTGGTGTGAACCAGCTAGGGGGTGTTTTTGTCGGCGGCCGACCCTTGCCTGATTCCACGAGACAGAAAATCGTCGAGCTCGCACACTCTGGAGCGCGGCCGTGTGATATTTCCAGGATTCTGCAGGTCTCGAATGGCTGTGTCTCCAAAATTCTAGGCCGGTAAGTCAAAGAAATTGAGAGGAAAACCGCATGGCCTTAGAAAAAATTAGGACAACAAATCGAGTATTTCCGAATGCAGCGATTCATGAATTAAATAAAAAGAAATTATATTTAAATCATTTTGCATTTACTCACATTTACTGGCTTTTTCCCGGTTTATTTCGCTCATTCAGTGTTAAAGGATCTGAAAATTATCATCAAATTTATATCAACTATGATTTATTAGAAAAAAAGTTTTTAAGTATTCTGATGAAAATTATTATTGCATTTATGCCCATCAAGTATTTTTCATTGGTATTTATAATTTTCTTCTTGGGAAATTTTGGAATTCACCATTATCAATTATTTAATCAACTATGCAGACATGCAGGAGGTGAATAAATTCAAAATTTTATTTCCCTTTTGCAGCTTATATTTATATGTATATTTTATAATTTTTTTGCAACAAACAAAAGCATCACAAAAAGGGGGTGCCTCACAATGTCCTAAAGACAATGTCCTAACGGAAAATGTCCTAAAGAAAATGTCCTACAGACAATATCCTAAAGAAAATATCCTAAAATTGAGAATCGAAAATGTCCTAACAGAAAATATCCTAACGCCTGAAAATTATGCAACTTGCACTCTTTCTGACGTCATTTTTCAAGTGCGAGGTTTGTGCGCAAAATTTGGTGCGTATTAATAAAGTTATAAGTTAAATTTTTTAATAATTTTAACTTGAATTATAATTTTAATTATAAAATACTTTAAATTATATATAATTGAAGATAAAAATATATTATATAAAACATATGTATTTTTCTTAATAAATATAAATATTAAATACTATGTAACTTTTTATAATTTTAACTCACTGTTATTACGCTCATACTAAATAATCAAAATTTTAAATTAATCGTTTTCTATTCAACAGCAATGATTTTTACCCGTTTTTCAGTTACTACGAGACGGGTTCGATTCGTCCCCGAGCGATCGGCGGGTCGAAGCCGCGCGTGGCCACGGCCGAAGTGGTGGCGAAAATCGCTCAGTACAAGCGCGAGTGCCCTTCGATCTTCGCGTGGGAAATCAGGGACCGCCTGCTGCAGGAGGGCGTCTGTTCCAACGACAACATCCCGAGCGTAAGTACCTGCGGAAAAACAATGTGGTCATTAAGCTCGCTCTTCTTATAACTTGGCAAGCGAGGGGAAAAATATAGCGTCTCGGGGCGAAATTTGCATGCGTCCAATAAACGGGGCAGGGAAAAAATGAGGGTGCTGCTGGAAAAACGAGGGTGCCTCTCTTTTCCATTCTTTTTTGCGCCCTTCTCTTTATTGCCGGGAGGACAGGAGAAAGAGAGAGGGTGGCCATAACGCTTCTGCGAGCCCTCTCGAAAGCTGTAGCCATAATGGAGGCAGGAAAAGTAAAAGAAAATTTGACTTTTGAGGAGAGATGCCGAACCAGTACAAATATATATACAGAAAGAGAAAGCAAGCAAGCGCTGCAGATTGAACCGACTGACTGAGAACAGGATATTACAACAGTAACAGCAGCAGAAACTTTTCATTTTCCCAGTCTCGGCGGAGGAGATATCGGGACGAGAAAAGAAAAGAAAAGAAAAGGGAAAACTTCTCTCTGCTCCGAGCCCGTAAAACATTAGCCTATTCGTCTGCTTATTTGTGTGTTTTATATCAAACACGCAAGTTTATTTTTACAGTCAAGATTTTTCCCTTTTCCTTTATGTATATATTTTTTCTTGTTCTCTTTCGGTGGTATAATATTATTTCTGCTCTTCTGCGAGTGCGTGCGTGCAAAGAAAATATATATTCAAAATGCATTTTCCATGGAAATGTCTCGCTCTCTCTGCCAAACTTCTTTATAATGGCACGCATATACATTCTTATCCGCACATATCATGTAAATCATTTTTTCCTTCGGCGTCGTCGTCTCTCTTCCGTCTCCTTTACCCGCCGCGCGCTTCTCATTGCTCAATAGATCGGAAGACATTCAATTTGGGTTTTTGCGCCACGCGTTGCTCGTCGCCGCGACGCAAAATATGCGGGAAAACATTTTGTTTTGATAAGGGGACTACTTGTGTGATTTATTTATTTTTGCGTCATTCGCATCGCAGGCCAGATAAATGTTCCGAAAAGTTTGGATTTAAATAAATATTTTATACCCGGTTTGTGATTCACACGAGTTTTTTGGATCATAAATGACATTTTATACGGAATTAGGAGTTTTGTAAGATGAATTAAAATTAAAATTTATATAATATTATTTAAAATGATATGATTTTAAACTTTTTAATTTTTAAAATCTCTATTTTATGTAATATTTTTATTTATAAAAGTAAAATCATATTTTTAAAAATTAATTACATTGTAATGATCTCTCTTTTTGATTAAAAGAAAACAAATAAGTTAGGTTTTAAAAGAGAAAATACATAAATACTTTAATATCCGCGACACGTTTCTTAAAATTGTAAATAATAAAATTATACTTTCTGCGCTTCTTTCTTCATTTTGGCTTTTGGTTAAATGTGAGATGAAAATCCAATTATGATATTATTAGGTTCAAGAAATGTTTATTGGGTTCGAATTTAGGGCAACTATGCCCCATACATGAACTCATCCAAATAAATGACAAAAAACGAAAATTTTAAAACAAGAGAGAGAGAAAACATTAGTATTGCTCAAAATATTGCTTTTTCAGTACCGATTTAAAAAAATTAACATTTTCATTCAAACATAGATTTGATGGTAACTCATTCCAAAGCCTATAGCATTGAACTTGAAAACAGTTTTCCGGTACCTCCACACTAACAAACGGTGCGAGCAATTTCATTCGGTGCGCTCTCGTGCGCCCGAGCAAATTTACATCATACATTGTCGTAACGTAATCGTTCAAGTACTCTGGACTATTTTTATACAAGATTTTGTGTGTCTGAACTAGAATTTTCAATTTATGCCTATCCGCGATTTTCAGAATTTCACATTTTTTATACAAGGGTGATAAATTTTGTCCGATCTTTACATCAAAAATATACCTGATCAAATGATTTTGCAGTACTTGCAATTTGTTAATTTGCGTGGCTGTCAAATTACAGTAAACAATGTCACAATAATCAAAGTGTGGCAGAATCAAGCTTTTGACAAGTTTTATACGGACTTTCTCGGGAGTAACATTTCTGAATTTTTCAATACTTTTTAAAGTACCGTAAACTTTTTGCGATATTCTAGACACTTGCGCGTTCCAAGACAAATTCTTATCAAACATAACACCAAGATTTTTCGCATCTTGCACAAAATTTAACTCAACATCATTTAAATATAATTTTTCACTTAACATCGCAGAGATTTTAGAATTATTTCGTTCAGAACAAACAAACATAGCTTGCGATTTACTCGGGTTGAGTTTCAGTCCATTCGCTTCCGACCAATACACGACATCTCTTAATACTTCGTTCATGATTTTAACACACTCGTTTACATTATTCGACAGGCAGCTAAGATAAAGCTGAGTGTCGTCCGCATAAACGTGATATACTTGCACCTATCCTTTAAGACTGCCGATAAATCGTGCGTGTACAGAGAAAAAAGGAGCGGCCCAAGAACTGAACCCTGGGGCACGCCACATTCAATATTCATCCACTTAGAAAAATTTCCATCACTGTTCTTAATTGCATGCTGACGGCCTGATAAATAACTTTCAAAGAAGCGCAAAGCAGGTGCAGAAAAATTCAATTGATTTAGTTTACTCAGCAAAAGACCATGGTCAACCAGATCAAATGCTTTTGAGAAATCAAGAAAAACCATTAACGTTACTTCATTTTTAAACATAGAAACTCTCAAATCCTCAGCAATTTTTAACAGAGCCGTTGTCGTGCTGCGCAATTTCCGAAATCCGGATTGAAGCCTATCAAGGACCTCATTTTTTAATAAAAATTCCATCATTTGATCAAAGACAATTTTTTCCAACACTTTTGAAACAACACATAACAAGCTAATTGGCCGGAAATCAGAACTACTTGCGGGGCTGCGAACTTTTGGCAGAGGCATCAAAATAGCTTTTTTCCAGATAGCTGGGAAATATGACGTTTGCAGCGCAGAGTTGATAATAAACGTGAGAGATGGCAGAATTACATCAATAATCATGAGCAGCATTTTGTTACAAATATTGTCGGTACCTTCAGAGGGTGACTTTATACTTTTCAGCGCTAATTTCACTTCCAATGGGGTTACATGTTTAAAATAAAATTTATCGCCTGAAATTTTACGAGGGATTGAGAAATTTTTATCAATTTTGTTCAAAATATTAGAGGGTCTTTTCACGGTCAAATCATTTACAAGGTCGTCAGAACTTAGAGAAAGCTCGGCAACTCTGGATTTATCTTTCACCAAACCTAAGCCTCGCAACTTACTCCACATATGCTTTGTTCCTGAGATTTGATTTAAACTGTCAAAAATCACTGATTTTTGGAAATTTAAAATTTTTTGTTTAACTTTGTTTCTCAGTGATTTAAACAAATTAAATGCAATTATATTGCCATCTGAATCTGCCTTTCTTCTCGCCTTATCCCGGTCTTTAATCAACGCTTTGACACCATTATTATCCTGCTATCAATTATTAAAAAAGAGCTAAAAATGTAAAGGTCAGTTAATTTCAGCTCAAAATGAATCTTCTATTATTTAGTGATATCCTCTAAAATTATTTCTGATTAAATTGCTTTCCAAAAAAAAATCGTTTTGCTTGTTTTCGTGATCCAAATACATAACAATCATTTTGAAATGTCTTTTCTTTAATATGAAAAGTCAGCAGCAGCATCAGCAAAAGGCTTTTGCAGTCCCCTGCAAATGCCGCCGAATATCAATTTGTCATGATGGTGCTGTACGTACAGGCCGGCGCAAAAAAGTGTCACGTCATTTTCTCATCATTTTAATCCATCTTTGTCTCCTGGTGTGTGTGTGTTGTCGGGCGCGCACGGCACCTCAAACTCTTTTGTAAACATTCATCACTCGGGTGCCAATCACATGAGCAGAGAGAGAGACGCCGTTGTATCCGAAGCGCAAAAAAACGGCGCGCACCCTCGGCGGCGTCATCCCATCTACTTTTCCACAGCCGCGTACAAAGTAATGAATGTTTTAGCACATATAATTAATCAAATTTTCCCAAAAGAGGAGAGACGGAAGAAAGGATTAAAGGAAAAAAGCCGAGTATAGAAAGTTGAAAAGGAGAGCTATAATAATTTAATCTCTTCGGGGAGAGAGAAAATGATAATTCACTCTGATGCTCATCTCATTAGAAGGTATTAAGATTTATTTATGCGAAAAATTAAGACGAAGCTCAGCTTTATAATACAGTTTAGTGTCTCTGGGAATACGCGTGCGTGAAATAATGCATGAGAGAAGAGCGAGAGCGGAGAATCCCGGGGCCGGCGTTCCTTAAAGATGTTAGAGGGGATAAAGGGCTGGGGTATTTTAAACTTGATCTCTTACGCCTCAGCGAATCACACCGCTTCAATCAACAAACGCGCTGCATATAGGGAGAGAGCGGAGAGAAATAAGAAGAAGGAGCGGCTGCTGCATAGAGAGAGAGAGAGAGAGAGAGAGAGAGAGAAACTCGGTTTCGGCGAAAGGGGGGCCGGATTTGGTACTGATGTGCATTTCGCCCCGCAAATATTACGCATGCAACCCCTTTTTTACGCTGCAGCGTCTGCTGTGCTAGTGCGTGAGTCATGAATGCTTGTGCGACACTCGCAAGTGCGCCGGCTAATTTCTGAACAAACCGGAAACTTTTTCCGAGAGAGGGAGAAAGCAAATCAGAGAGTGGATAAGGGGATGCAATTTTATCCCGATGCGCTTTGAAATTGGAAAAGTTTAGCGATCTAATTTTAATAGAAAACCAAGCATTGTTGTCAAATTTACAAAATTGGGCTGCAATTAAATAAAAATAAATGATGAAAAGACAATTCTAGTTTCTGGAATAATTACCAAATTATACATACTTCAGCTATGCTTTTATGGCATGTTTGATTTTTGGTTAAACTAAAATTTAGAAAATTATGGAAGTGAAGAACTCGGGCTTTTTCTTTGTTGTAAAAATTGTTTTTATTTAAATGGCTCAATTTTTACAGTGAGAAAAAGCCCGAGTTCTTCACCTCCATGATCATCTCCTCAAATGTCAATTCCTTCAAACTAATTTGGAAAATTAATTGTGTATTTCCTATTTTTTTTTTTAAATAGAAAAAGCTGTCATATTCGTGTACAAAATTAAAATCTAGTTTCTTATAATTATCAACAAAGCAGCTTATTAAAAGATTAAACTAACCCTATAATTAAGAATTTATTATTTATCTTTCCCCTATATAATTGAGCAGCCATAGATATCAGGGTTTGAATGTCACAAAATTAAATTGTTAAAAACTTACTCAAATGATATTGTTCCTCTTTTGAGATTTGATATTGAGCTTTTTTTTTAGATTTAAAAAAATATTCATTCTAATCAATAACTTGGGTGTGCATCTTATTTAAAATTTGCTTAATTACTTAAAAAATTCTAACTTTTACTATTATGTATCCTTCAATAATGAAATATTCAACAAATTTATTTCCAATCTAACCCTTTTCCCTTTTTTCGTCTCCATGCTTCTCCAGCACCCCTGGTTGATTTTCCCTCTCTCTGAAAAAGAAACCAAACTACATTTTGGCGCAAAAGTTAACTGACTTGTCTGGGAGGGATTGTTGTTGGCCGCAAGGGCATCAAGGGTCGGTGTTAGGTCACGCCAATAAGGGAAACAAGGAACGCACGCTCGTTCTTTCTCTATGTTTTGTCTCGGCGCTGGCTGCGCGTATTTTTGCTCCTTTGCCGGCAGAGATAAAATATACAGAAGCGACACCCCAGCTCTCTCTCACGAAGAGGAAAAGAAGGAAGCTGATGCATTATGTATGGAGGAAGCAGACGCTGTTGCAGCCAGCAGCCTGCGAAATCGGCGAAAAAATACGAAACATGTTTTATATCGACTGCAGCGCTGGATATGGTGCGAATAATTCTCTTCCATTTTTTATTCATCCACCAACTTTTATAGTAACACACATTTTCTTTGCTGATGTGTGTTATTCGTGAGTATTTCTTCCTTTTGTGTTTGAGGTCGTGAAAGAAAAGCAGCTAACATTCAAAGTTACGGTCATCTTAATTCGAAAATATATACCCCGTTGAAGAAAAAGACAAGATTTATCAATTTTAAATGATATAATTTTAAGTTCAGGAATTATTGATTCAATAATAATAATTGTTGGCGTGCGTATGATTTTATGGAAAAAAATCTTGAATCTTTTAAATTATTCTAGAGTTCTCAAATAATTGTTAGTGTGCGTGTGTTTTTTCTGTTCAAATTAGTGTAGAGTAGTGTTTTGTTGTTGCAAATAAGGTGTGGAAAAACAAACAACAACAAAACAACTAAAACTACTTCCGCTTTATGCTCTAGAATAATTTAAAATTATATAATCATTAATTTATAATGATTTATTTTATTTTTAGTGAATCTAAAAATTTTTTCAATCTATTCATTACATTAAATTCTTAGATAATACCCACGCAAACAATTATTTTTGAAAGAGATGCGGTGTATTAAATTGCAGTGAATGAATATATATTTTTTATTTAATATTAATTCTCAATTAAAAATTTGCACAGCTTTAAAGAATAATTTATGTATTAATTTTATAAAAACTGCATAAAATATTTTAAATCACTTTATTAATTAAATGAGATTGAATCATAATTTAAAAATTAGCTCAGATTTTATTTTTAATTAATAGTAATAAATTTTTGTAAAATTATAATAACTTTTTATTTTCAAATTTAAACGTCAAAAAAAAATACAGAAAGGAATCGGTAATGAACCGTTTTCAGCAAGCAGAGATACTCATTTAAATCGACACGCGCGTTTATAACAATCGCAGCAAATAACAATTGCATACGGATGCATTCGTTGAAAAGCGTAGGAGGGTGCGCGCTCTTTATTATATCCGCACACACGGCACAGCATATATTTCGAAACGCTGTAAATTGTCATCCCCATTTCACAAGTGGCGTTCTAATTGGGATGGAATTCCCATCCATCCAAATACACACCAGAGAGTTGGCGCGGCGGCGCTAAACTGGGGTCTTTTTATTATTCCCACCGGACCGATTTGCGGCCGCTGCACAAAAATAATAATACACCCCGCACGATGCAAGCAGTAAAAAAAAGAAAGGGAAAGCAGTATTATTATTTGACACTAATTGGCGGCGATTTGTAACTGCCGATAATAAATTCGTCCTAATTAATCGTACGACCGAGGGTTTTATACATTATTTTCATCCCCTGCGTAGAAAATATTTTCTCTTTCTCGAAGAAGATGAACGCTGCACAAAAGGTGTACATAAGAATCCGGTCCCCTCTCTCAGATTGGATGACAATGAGCTGGCAATATTCATTGCGCAAGGAAGGTATTAGCATCAGTTAGAGCTCGGCACGGTGTCAATAGCCTCGAAAACACCCTGCAGCGAGCTATTCAATTTCCAAGTCATTGTGCGCCCGCCAGCCACCCCTGGATTATTTATTTGTTCCTTCAAGTACTGCAGCCCGGCCAGCATCTTTCAAACATATATTGACATCCTCCATGCGAAAGCTGCTGCCGAGACCCACCTTTTAATACAAATTTTTTCCATACACAAAATACCTGCCTCGCATGTAAAACATGATGTGCGTGTAATGCATTTCATCATAAGCGCGAGGGCTTAAAATTTATGGTCGTTTCTTTGTTGCAACTTTTCTTATATTATATTTTATAAAGAGCGTAGATACATTTGATATTATTTGAGCAGCGCTGGCTACTACTTTTCTGGCCGACAGATGTTTGCGGCGTGTTCTTCTTTCTATCTTTTTCTACATAATGGTGTATGAAGATGTCTTGCAACGCCTCTCGCGTTTTCAATTTTCATTCTCGAGAGCAGCGTGGAAAATGCATTGACAAATTTGTCGCTAGATCATTGACGGAAAAAATATAATAAGTCCGTTGAAGGAATTTATTGCTCCAAGGGGCAAATGCCAAAAGTTCAAGATGCGCCAATATCAATACAAATATGAAAAAATAATACACAAGCATAAATTTTTTTAAATATAATTTGCCATAAAACATCAGACGTATAATTTACATAATCAACTTGGATCTGCTTAGATTAAAGTAAAATGCTGCTTTAGTTCAGTTCTAAATTTGTCTGTTATTTGTGGATTCAAATTTAATTCTGACTGACAAAACGAGCCTGGCATTTATTTTAATTTCTATCTCTCATTTCTTAAAATGTCTGAATTTTTGCAAGGGATGTTTGGACTTTAATTTTTTTAATTGTGTTTTTACATTTTATTCCAGGTTTCATCAATCAACCGGGTACTGAGAAACTTAGCAGCACAAAAAGAGCAGCAGCAGCAACATCAGCACCAACAACAAAGTCCAGTCCAAGCGGACACGGTGTACGACAAGTTAAGACTTCTCAACGGCCAAGCAGCTGCGGCCGCCGCCGGGTGGACAAGACCTACCCCTTGGTAAGCTCTCCATATTTATGTTAACGTAGATTGAATTTTCATCAAAAGTATAAAAATGCATTTTTTTTGTTCACTTATTTTATTTCAAAAGTTTGACATTTTGAGAGAGAAATTACAGCCTAATGAGAAAATGGAGATTTCTGAATTTCTGCATCTTTTTTTCTCCAATCAAGTAAAAAAAATAATCAAGATGAGAAAAGACAGAAATTTGAGGTCTGAAGTAAATTAATAAAGTTACGGAAATTCTAAACCAAATTCACATCCCTTTAAAGTTTCTGCAAAGCTTGCAAAATTTTTTAATATTTTCGTTTTTAAATTTCTTATCAGGTATCCAACCACTGCAACAAGTCCGTTTTCAAGTGTACAAGCTAGTCCCAGTCCTGGGCACAACGGAGGATGCACCATCCTTCCAGACCACGATCTAGGACCAAAGAAAGGTAGGACCGAAAATCCCTTTTAAAATTCGCTTTTCCGTCCATATCACATATCGATTTTTGATGTCAAAGCATTCCGACGTGTTTTGGCAAGTGGAAAAATTCATTTATTTATTTGCTCTTCTGATATCAAAATATCACATCTCACTCGCGCGTATATAGACGGAAAATCTGTTATGTCTACAAACACTCGGAGAGCGCCTCGGTGGCTGTTGTCGAGAGTTTGTAATCCTCTTATATTAAAACGAATATGTATGGGAGGATAGGGAAGCGATTGAATAAGCCTCTTATTTATTCAATTGCTGCGAGATGGATTCAATCAAGACGCTTTTAAATTGTCAGCAAGAGCGACAAATTTGAAGAGAAAAATCCAAATGGAATAATAATATAAAATTAGTACCTATTTTAATCACATTAGAGCGTGTGTCACTTGATTATGGTCGTTATAATGAGCGCATATGGCTCATTCATTCCGCTGTTTAATTTATTCAAATGGGAGCCAAGAAATAAACAGCGCGCCGAGTTTAATCTCTCTCTCGCAGCCTTTTCACATAATGTGCTCCCGCTGCTGCCTGAATGCAACTTATACGAATTTGAACGCGCGCGCTCCTTTTTGCAATGTGAAAATAATATAAAGAAGTCTTCGCGGGGCGTCTTTATTATCAAACAATGCACCAGCAGCACATTCGGACTAAAGTAAGATGCGCCTCTCTTTCTCTTTTATATATAAATACATGGATTATATACCGCGCGCAGATTGGAGTAGTTTGTTATACTCCGCGAACATATAAACTCCACGAGGCGCGCATTAGTGGATTTTTGCATACCCGCGCAAAGTCATTTCGCTACCCCCTGCCAGCATCTCGCCGCCTCTATAAATCTCGCGAACATATAATTAAAATCTCATTAATTGCGTTTTAGATATTGGCGATTAGGCAAAATCCAGAAAAAAAGTATTGAAAGTAAAAAAAAAAGAAATAGTTTTAACGTTTTAATAAGTTTTTATCTCTTATCTGCTAATCAATAAATTTGTAGTTTGAAAATTTAGATCTTTATTTTCAGCAAGTAAAGTTCTTTTTGTGTGTTTATTGCAAAATTTTAATTGGTAATTTCAATAATTCATCTCTCTTTGCTTTCCGAAATTACTTTTTTGTCTTTATTTTGAAACTTTTTGCGTCTCTTCTAAAAAATCAGTCGCCTCCGGTCATTCCAGTGTTTTATCTGATTTTAATGTTTTTTTTTAAGTTCTGATTGAGCTCATTATTTTTGAATTAATCATTCAAAATTTATGCTTATTTTTGAAAGTTTGCCAGATAAGATGAAATTTTTCTTCAATAATTTGAACTTTAACCTGGAGCTCAGATTCATTTAAAAATTCCATCTTTTTATTTGTTTTTATCTGTTGCGAGAAAACAATAATTAATGATTTTTGGTGTGAAATTTAATAATATAATCTTATTTACTTAAATATTTGATTTTTAATTCCTGATGCTTGATGCAATAAACATTTATTATTTGATTGTGCGTTAAATTTCCTTTTGTTTCTTCAAAGAAATTTGCGTGTAGCACAAAAGCGGCCTGGAGCCCTTTTGCATACGATTAGCCAAGAGAGAGTTCAAAGAGGACGCGCTCCTAACTCCTGCCGCTTTTTTACTGTTTTTTTCTTCTTCTCATACTCGCTGCTGATTTTATATGCACCGAGGCTTTTCCGGGGAGAGAGTAGAGTGCTGTGACAGCGATTTCACCTTACACGCTTATTTTAACGCCGACGGCGAGCAGTGCGCATTTTGTATAAAGTGAATCGGCGCGGACTTTGCGCAATCTCATCATCGCGCGTGTGTGTGTTCGAGGAAGGCCTTTAGCTGCGCACCAGCACTTTCCTTCTTCGTCGCATATTACAGCAGCGTTAAAGCACCACACCGAAATTCCAGAAATTTAATATCTCTTTTGATAGCAATATGGCTAGCAATATGAGATTGGTGGCGCCACCGTCGCCACGAGCACACGCGCCTAACGTGTCGCTCCGCTTTTGAGTGATTTTCGACCTGGTTTTTCGCTGTCCTGAGCTGTCCAGTGTGTCCAGTTCCATCCTTGTGTTGCCTGCGTGGCCCCCAACATCAAAAACCACCCCTTAGAGCACCTTGAGTAGACCAAAGCCGCTTTTTCAAGATGCCACAACAACGCGCCGCCATCTTTGCTGATACTTGCGTGCTGTGCGACCAATCTGGTAGGAAGAACTCTGTGAAAATTCCCTGTGTCGAGTGCGGTAAAATTTACCACAAGAATTGCCTGGTGAAGAAGACCATCTTGGAAGAGAGAGAAGCCACGGCCTTTCGCAAACACAACAACTACGTGTGCTGGTCCTGCAGCATGCCGCATCTCAATGATTCCTTCTGGAGCCTTCCGGAAGCGCCACGAAGCCCAACTCGGCTGCCGCCACCATGGCGCCCGGCTGAAAAGAACGCCGTCACGTTGCTCAGTTTCAATGCCCGCTCCTTGAAAAACCGCAAAAGGGCTGCAGACATTGCCGCCTTTCTGCAAACCCACTCGGCCGACATCTGCGCAGTCAACGAGACCTGGCTCACTCCGGAGGTAAAGAACCATGAATTCCTCCCCAGAGACTACGTCGTCCTGCGAAAGGACCGCCTCAGTGGCCGTGGTGGCGGTGTCCTGCTCGCCATCCGCCCGCACCTTCAACCGAAGCGGCTGCAGCACCTCGAGAGCCGCGGCGCCGAGATCGTGTGGGCTGAAATCCAAGTCGGCAGACTGCGCCTGCTCGTCGGGTCTGCCTACCGCAAGCCCGGACCTGATGGTGCACACAACGCCGACCTGATCAATTCCCTCGACCTTGTGGCTGCCGTCCATCTCAACTACGATGGCTGCCTTCTGCTTGGTGATTTCAACCTGAATATCTGCTGGCGCTCAGACCCTCCCGAGGCGCGCGACCTGATCGCCGAGAGTTTCAATTCAGCTTTCGCCGAACTCTCCCTCTCGCAGCTGGTCACCGAGCCGACACGAACTACCAACTCAAGCGAGTCGACCATCGACCTTCTGCTCTGCAGCGAGCCGAACCTGGTGTCGAGGGTGGAGGTGGTGGCAGGTGTGAGTGACCACGACGCCATCCTTGCAACCCTGTCGCTCACCGCTGTCCGCCCTGTGAGAGAGCTGCGTGAGATCCCCGACTTCAAACGCGCCAACTGGCCGGCACTCAACGAAGCGCTCACCGAACGGCTGTCCGAGTTGCAGCAGGCGGACAACATCGACGAGGCGTGGGCCAACTGGAAGCGCATCGTGTCCGAGTGCATCGACCAACATGTGCCAAAGAGGCGGGCCGGGGGCGGCAAGAGGCGGCTCCTCCCCTGGCTCACCAAGGACGTGAAGGTGCTGATCGACATTCGTGACGGCCTATTTTCCCGATGGCGGGAGACGAAGCAGCGCGCGGCGAGAGAGGCCTATCTCGCGGCTCGCCGAACGACACAAGCTGCCCTTCGTGCGGCCAAAGACGACTGGATGTGGCTGATGGGCCGCGGCGCCGAGGGCACAAAGGTGTTCTGGCGCTACATCAACTCGAAGGCCACCGTCCCCAACGACGCGGTGAGTTTTGACGTGGGCAGGGTGACCATTTCTGACCCAAAAGAGGTGGCTGCACGCTTCAGTGAGGTCTTCCAAGGCAATTTCTCTCGCCCGGACGACAACAATTTCCCCTTCCTGCGCCGCAACCCGCCCGCCACGCAGCCCTCGGAGCCGCAGCCCACCCTGAGCGAGCTGGCCTGCTCGCCCGCCGACGTCTACAAATTGCTCCGGGAGGTGAAAACCAACACCGCAGCCGGCCCCGACGACATCCCCGCCGAGCTGCTCAAGAACAGCGCCCTTGCCCTCTGCGTTTCGCTCTCTGCCCTTTTCAACAAGTCGCTCGAACAGGGCCTCCCTGCTGAGTGGAAAATGGCATCTGTGGCGCCGATCCACAAAGATGGCAGCAAGCGCGACCTCAACAACTACCGTCCGATCAGCATCACCTCGCTGGTCGGCAAGACGCTGGAGCGCTTTGTCCGGGACAAGCTGAGCGAGTTCCTCGTGAGCCAGAACGTCATCCCGGCGACTCAGCACGGTTTCCGCGAGAGACGCTCCTGCACCACACTTCTGACCGGCGCCATCGACTCGTGGACGTCAGCCTTGGACGCCAAGAGCGGCGCCCACGTCCACTGTGTGTTCCTCGACTGGTCGAAGGCCTTTGATCGGGTTCCGCACGCGCGCCTTCTCTCCAAGCTGGAGCACTACGGCATCAAGGGCAAGTTGCTCAAGTGGCTCGAGAGCTTTCTGGTCGGCCGGACGCAATTCGTCCAGTTCAACGGAGCGCGTTCCGAGCCCACCGAAGTCCCCTCGGGCGTCATCCAGGGCAGCGTCCTTGGGCCGCTGCTCTTCAACGTCTTTGTGGCGGACCTCCCCACCTCGGTGAGGACCCAAATTTTCCAGTACGCCGACGACGCCACCCTCTCGCGTGTTGTCGCCACCCCCGAGGACGCCGACGCCCTGCAAGCAGACCTGGACGATGTCCAGATCTGGTGCCACAACAACGGCATGGCCCTCAACCCCAAAAAGTGTAAGGTTATGGACATCACCCACGCCCACACCCCTCTATACTTCAAGTACACCATTGATGGCGCGGCCCTCGAGTACGTCGACCGCCAGCGGCTCCTGGGTGTCCACGTGTCCAGTGACCTGCGATGGAGCGTGCACACCGACACAGTGCGCGCCAAGGCCGCTCAGAGGCTCAGTTTCGTCGGCCGCAACCTTCAAGGGTGCACCCCCAGGGTCAAAAGGTTGGCATATCAGGCGCTCGTCCAACCTCTGATGACCTTCGGACTGCCCGCCTGGCACCCGACCACTGTGGAGAACCTGCAGAAGCTCGAGCGAGTGCACCGGCATGGGCTCCATTTCATCCACGGCCGCCACCTGCCGCCGCCTCTCGAGCAGAGGATGATGCCGATGGCCATGCACCTGCA